ATGGATGAAACCTGCTATGATTACCCTACTTTTAAAGCATACATTTGATTTAAACAATATATCTACATAATATTCACATATGTAGTTCTTAGCCCAACAGTTACAGCATTTTACAACATCTTTGACCTATTTTATCTCACAATTCTGACTTTTTTTCTCGCAAATGCAAGTTTATATCTCTTAGTTCGGACTTTGCAACTCAATTTAACTCAGAAATTGCACGTTTGTCAATTCTGAGGGGAAAAAAAGCCAGAAGTGTGGGATATAAACTCATGATTCTGAGCCGAGGGGAAAAGAGAGAATGACGAGTTGATCAGAATTGTGAGATATAATCTTGAAAATACGAGAAAAAAAGTCCGAATTTTGAAATATAAACTCAAAATTACCTTTTTTATTATTTTATTCCATGGCTTCCATAGACTGCTACTATAAAACTGGCATTTTCTACCACCAGATAAGCTCCGCCCAAAAAAAAAAAAAAAAAAATCATTGCACTTTGCAAACACCGCGAAATCGGTCTATGAGACAGATGTCAAATTTCCTTGGTGACTTCAAATATGAAATTTAATTGTGAGCTGGGAGACACTGATGTTCCCCTATTCAAAGAGATGCACTTTCAAACCAAGCAGCTGTTGGTCTGTGCGGCGAATTCGCGTCACCGAATTGTACAGGAGCGAAATCTGTGTACCGAACTTTTTCGCGCGGTGTCTTGCACCTTGTTTTTGACATAATAGCGGGCGCGGGGATTTGAAACTCGAATGTGCGCGGTAACCTTTTTGAACTTGCTTATACTTCATTCACAAATGCAGATTTTTGAAAACCCCTCCTTCCTTTCCTTATTTTGCTAATGAACTTAAAGCGTTTGCCACATGAAATGAAAAAGCTGTCACAGTAGCCATTTTTTTCAATGAGTTGAGTGCCCCTTCCAAAAGCTTATCTCTCAATAATTGTTGTTTCCTTCAATTTTTTTTTACATTTATTCATGCTTGGGTGTCGGCGGTGAATCCAGTGGAGAGAAATCCCCCACAACTAATGCTGCGTTCAAGTCCTCCTGGGACGGTCGTACTTACCAGTTGACAAGTCGTAATTACGACGTCACGTGACAAGTCCCGCCCTCTCATTTCAGATGCCGTTTCACTCGGATATACGTCACAGCAAAGAAAAGACAATCGCAACTTCCGTTTCATGCCGACTTTAAAATCACACAAAATAAGACCTTCGGTGCGCTCCAAACGGGATATATCGTCCTCCGAAGGGCACTTCGGAGTGAAAACAATCATGGCCACCATATTGAAA